CATTCTGAACACCTGTGATCAGGGCTCCCTCTGCCGCCTTGTCCTAACCTCGACCTCTCTGCTGCCTTTGACACTGTCAAGTACTCCATCCTCATACACCGCCTCTCCACTTTACTCACTCTTCGCGGACCTGCCCTTGCCTGGTTCAATTCCTATCTCTCTCACCGTCTCCACTTCGTTGCCTCTAACGGTTTCTCCTCCAGCCCCCGCACTGTCACATCTGGCGTCCCCCAGGGCTCTGTCCTTGGCCCTCTCCTCTTTAATATCTACATGTTCCCTCTTGGTGACATCATCCGCAGACATGGGGTCAACTTCCACATGTATGCGGATGACACCCAACTCTATCTTTCTGCCTCCACCCTCAACTCCAGGACCACTGCTGTCCTGACAGACTGCCTGATTGGCTCGCGCCAGCGCCTCTGCACCTCAGGCTCTGGCAACATCAACCTCCATGGTTGCACACTATAACTCACCAAGCCAGTCAGGAACCTAGGTGTCTTGTTTGACCCTCAACCATCTTTTCTTCCCCGCATTCAAGCCATGACTCGCTCTGGCTTCCCTCACCTCCGTAACATCCCTTGACTCCATCTCACCCCTCAAGCCGCTGAAACTCTTGTTCATGCCTTTATCACCTCCAGGCTCGATTATGCAAACGCCCTGCTTGTCAGCCTTCCCAACTCCTCGCCCGTGTCCTCTCCTGCACCAAACTCCGTGACCCCCATCTCCCCCACTCTTGCCCGACTCCACTGGCTCCCTATCCTTCAGAGGATCCAGTTCAAGATCCTGGTCCTCACATACAAAGCCCTCCATGGCCTTGCACCACCCTACATCTGTCACCTCCTAACCTCCTACTAACCCGCCCGTTCCCTCCACTTAGCTGGCTCTGGCCTGCTCCATGTCCCCCAACCCACCCGCCTCACCATTGGCGGGAGAGCCTTCAGCCACTCTGCCCCCAACCTCTGGAATTCCATCCCCCAGTCACTCTGTCTCGCCCCCTCTTTAGCCTTCTTCAAGTCCCGCTTCAAGACCCTCCTCTTCGACCATGCCATCGGCCAGCCCCTTTCCCCTCCCCTCCCTTACCCCCCAATTCCAGTTCGGGTCTGAAATGCTGTACTCTGTTCAGCGCCTTGGGATGTCCTCCAGATGTGAAAGGCGCTAAACAAATGTAATCTTGCTGTTGTATATCAAATCCAAGGATTATTAATTATAAATGCTGAAATTGTTTAATCGTCCACCCTGAACAGGCAGACAGAACCTCAGTTTAATGTCTTGACTGACAGATGGCATCTGCAACAATACAGTACTGTGTTAGAGAGTGCTAACCAACTGAGCCAAGCTAACACCGATTTCTCGAGCAGCACTCTGGCTTCTGAAGTTGCTTTACTGAAGAATAAAAACAGAATGAGTTGGTGTGAGCCATTACCCATGCAATACCACTTCAATTAGAAACTAAAATGACGCTGGGATAAGGCAATGCTACTTTAAGTTAACTGACCTGGAAATTCACATTGCAAAATGTGATCTGTCAGAAAATATATCTACCAAACACTCTACCCTGCTGTTACATTTTCATGGTGTGCTTAATGGCATGGTAGTTAATTTTAATAAGTGGAGCATGATAACATTGATGGGTAATTCATACACAAATAGCAAGGACATGTTTATTGACTACTGAGCACTCACCACATTTCATTAAGTCGAGACTATAATTTTTCTTTCATTAAACTGGCAGCACATAATTGGGAGGCATATCATCTGTAACTATTTTGTCAGGAGTCAGGAGGTATGGAATAGTTAGTGTTTTCCTTGATGTTATACTCTGACCATTATAAAGACATCCAAACTTAGTGACAGACATCTCAAAAGGTACCAGGATTTGCCCAATATAATAATCCAGTGTCAGGTAGCAAGCAGCTTGTTCAGAATATGCTGTGTGGCAGTAGCAAAAATAAATTGTTAATAAATAAAATCAGCAATACTGAAGCAAAACTTACATTCTTCTTTGGGTGACTGAAACATGCAGAAACCCATCTACCTTTCTGAAATGCCTTGGGATGTCTTCCTGACTTGAAAAAAGCTAGATAAACGTAAATTTGTTGTTGTTCTTAAAGAGTATCTAAACCAGAGTTCCACAAATGTTTGCCACCCATACAATAAAAATTTCCTGTGCTGGAAAGGAACATAATTTCTCTCCCAAGAGGGATGTATCATGCTTACCTAATTTGCAATAATAATATAATAATAATCCTTGCATTTGATATTGCGGCTTATCACGTCTTTGAGATGTCTCAATGCATTTCACAGAATATATTGTAAAGTGAATTGAATGTATATTTTGTGGACGAAATGCGGTAGTCAATTGTGCACAGCAGTGTCCCATAAACAGTCATGGATGAGATCGGATGGGTCAAAGGACCTTCTTTGTCCTAACCAAATTTGTGATCCTGTAATCTTGTTTTGGTCAGCTAGGTATATGACACCCACCCATATTCAAGTGTATCCAACAGAGAGAAAGAGAGAGAAAACGAGAGTGTGTATGTGTGTGGGGGGTGGTGTGCGGAGGGGAGGGATAGCCAAAGGAACCAGCCTTTAATTATTACTGGTTTGAATTATAAGCCTCATATTGCAGCAGACTGAGAATTAGCACATCATATACAGCAGTTCAGCCCAATTATTTCAAATGCAGGAACATTAACTAGAAGAAGATGCTATAAGCATGACTTTTAAAGAAAAAAGTATACATGACAAGGAAACACATAAATGCACAGGATTATGAGATGAAACAATATAATAATAATCCTTGCATTTGATATAGCGCTTTGTCACTTCTTTGAGACGTCTCAAAGTGCTTCACAGAATATACTGTCAAGTGAATTGACTGTATATTTTGTAGGCGAAATGTGGCAGCCAATTGCGCACAGCAGCGTCCCACAAATAGTTGTGGATTGACCAAATTATTATTATTATTTTTGAAGGAATTATTACCCCCATGAAAGCCATCCACAATCGACTAATAACCGGGTTCCTACTTACTGCTGGGTAAACAGAGGTGTGTGGAGTAAGGAAACTTGCCCAACTTTTTGCCCTGACAGCAATCAAACTCAGGTTTCTCACTTGCGAGGCGAGCGCTCTAACCGCTGAGCTATAGAACTCCACACATGAGACACAGGTTGTCAAGGCTTGTGGATCTAAGAAATTGTGATGAAGTACACCTAGATTTTAATCAACTAATACCACACCGAATGTCATTGATAACACTGTCTGGCAAACTTCCCACTGCTTATCCAGCTCGGACCACCCAACTCATTAAAAACACCTATATATGGAAATCTTAGTCTGGTATCGATACTCTTAAGTATGGTGATGAGTTTCCACATGCGTTTATGCCCAATGACTAACTGCTTAAATTCAATGTGGAATATTGGAGGGTTATTTCTCCCTACTGAGCATTTTAACCACTTCACTGCTGAAAATTTATTTCATTTATCATTTTCTTTTCATTTGCAGCAGATGCAAGTGATTCACTTTATACTACATGTAACCTAACCAGTACAAAGTATGGAGCTGATCTATCATTGTCGCCATGCAACACAAACTAATTAATTGCACTTACAATATTTCCCAGATCATAAGTTTGTTCATGAAATTGACTGAAACCCAGGATAATTTGAATCTGTGAACTCAAGTGTTTCAAACATGCTGTAAGGTCTGTAAAAGCAGCTGGAACCTGTCCCATTCGAATGAACAGAAACGTGAAATTGACAGTGAACAAAGGTAAATGGTGTAAAATGTGCTGTAACTATTGGACATGCCATCTGTCCATTTCTTTCACATGTACCTCTGAAAATGTCTGGTTTAAATCCACCATGCAAGTGTAGATAATTATATATATATGGGTGAGGCGGGGAATGGATGGGCGGGAAAGAGAAATTTTGCATGTCGCAGAGGAAAAAGATCTTAAAAACGAAAAACATGGTGTTGGAGTAAAATATTTGTTTATATATTACTCCAACCCTTGTTCTCTTTTCTAAGATCGTTTTAACTAAAATATGTTTATATTTTACTCCCTTTACGTTTTCACTCCTGGGATCTAAGCTCCTCAACCCCCCTTGGCTCTCCCTCAGACTCCTCAAACCAGTGCGCAATCTAGGCATCTGGTTGGACCTCCAGCTGTCCTTCCTCCCCCATATTCCGTATCTGAGCAAGACCACCTTCTTCCACCTCTGACAAATTGCCCTCCTCCAACTGTACCTTACCCCAAAGGCAGCCAAACCCCTTGTGCATGATGACAGCCACCTCCCAGTCCCCGCCTCTGAATCAGGCTCTGCCACTGTTAAGCTCTCTGAGATGCTACCCTGTGTATGGGGAGCTATATAAGTGCAAGTTGTCGTCGTACATTTTTTTTTCCACTCTCCCTAACCAAGAATCCATTTTTTATTATCAACCAGACACAAGGCCTCAAACTGGTTAAACACATGATAATCCTTGCATTTTTTTGATATAGTGCCTTATTACGTCTTCGCAACATCTCAAAGCGCTTCAAAGAGTATACTGTAAAGTGAATTGACTGTATATTTTGTGGGTGAAACGAAGCAGCCAATTGCGCACAACAGTGTCTCACAGATGGCCATGGATTGAGCGACCAATATATTATTTAAAGAAAAAATTCTATCAGATGTCAATCAGAGGAAGTTACAGAGGGACTCAACAGAGGGACACTCTTGTTGAATGCGTGTTTGGACATTTCCACCCTGGAGACATGGATTTCCCTCTCCGAAATGTGATCAAAGTTATTGATCGGTCTTGATGAAGTAGCATCCATTCATACCCATTGGCATCGCAACACTAAATCCAAATAATCGCAAATTGTTGCATTTGCCGCTTTAATAATTACAAAACATGCCTCTTTTCTAAGGCAACGAGTAGCTCATGTGAGAACTGAATTGAAACTGGACATATTTAAACGATTTGTGAATATTTGAATGTTTTGAGAGTCCTACCTTAAGAGAGTCTCCATTTGCCAACTGAAACGTCCTGGCCGAAATATTGATCCCTTTGCCTGTTTGAACCTGTATACTGTACACACATTCATGGTTGATTTCGTAGTTCATAGGATAATTAGGAGATAGCAGGATTCCCTCGTTGCTTCTTAAAGATGTCCCACATTCAGCTGCAGAGAAAGAAAGACATTTTTTAAATCCAATATAGTGGCTTCAATGTCCAATGATCTCTCACGCATAGCATTAAGATATATAGTGGACAAGGAAGAAAAAAATCACATCACATTTGAGTGAGTAAAATTTAATTTCTGACACAGCTAGCAGCTCATGTGTGAACTGAAAGGAAAGGTGAGGGAACTAGTGAGTGTCAAGGACTAGCTATCCAAACTAAAGTTATTATCATATAATTATTTGATATTTACAGAACAGATATTTAATCCAGCGGATTGCCTTAGGATGTCCTACCAACGTGACAGGTGCCATATAAATGCAATTTGTTGTTACTGTGAACCAGGTGGGATGTTGTGTGGCTCTGGTTTACAGAAATATCACAATAATAATCCCTACATTTGATATATCGACTCATCACGTCTTTGAGACGTCTCAAAGCGCTTCACAGAATATACTGTTGACTGAATATTTTGTAGGCGAAGCACGGCAGCAAATTGACTCAGCAAGCTTCTACGCATAACCATCATGATTAGTGATGTGGAGGGTTCTTTCTCCTCGAAGCATGCCGTTGACCAGAATTACATGCAGCAAGGCCGGCCAAATGACAGGAACTCAGATAGCCTATAAATATACAAGCATGGGACTTGCAAGATTTTTGGTGAACCGATGTGATGTTTTGAATTCCACATTGCAACCTTTCAATGCCACTTTGCTGGATAATCATTAAATAAATTGTCTTGTTAAGAGGCAACTGAATAGAAACGCTCTATCACCTTAGAAAACATCAGACCCTGCTGAGCATTAAATCAGGATATTGGCTAAAAATTACACAGATTTGAGCCCAACCATCAATTGGTTGGAGNTTTTTTTGATTATCCACTTGTCTGACACTTGCAAAAATCCTTCACCAAGCTATAGAGAATTCCATGCATGACACCAACTCATGGATATTTCCTGCTTCTAGAATAGAATGTGTATTCTCTCCCTGGAAAGACACACCCTCCTTACCTAATTCCAGAAACTACTAGGTGAAGGTTAGTGAGAGCTAATATTCGGGGATTGCAAACTGTGCATTGGTGTTGTGCTGGAGTTTAACCTTCTTAAACCACATAGCTTGTCCCATCCATAGTCTCCACTTTAGGTTCATGATTAGATTCCACTCCAGCCCCTTCACCATCACGTATGCCGTTCCTCAGGGTACTGTCCTCAGTCTTCTCCTCTTCAATATTTAATGCTTCCACTTGGTGACATCATACAGTGACATGGGATTAGTTTCCATATGTATGCAGATGACACCGAACTATCTCTCACTGCCTCCACCTTCGACTCCAGGACCACTGCTGTTCTCACAGAATGTCTGTCAGACATCAAGTCCTGGATGAGAGCTAACTTTCTCCTCCTGATTGGTTCCCATCAACGCCTCCACACCTCGCACACTGACAGCATCACCATTCGTTGATGAACTCTACACTTCATTGAGCCAGTATGGCATTTTGAGTTTTGTTTGATCCTCAACTTCCTTCAAACCCCACATCCAGGACATGCCCCTCTCTGCCATCCCCCACCTCCGCAGCATCGCCCAATTATAATAATAATTCTTTCAATTGATATAGCGCCTTATCACATCTTTGAGATGTCACAAAACGCTTCACAGAATATACTGTAAAGTGTATTGACTGTATATTTTGTGGGCGAAACGCAGCAGCCAATTACGCACAGCAGTTTCCCACAAACAGTTGTGGATTGAATGACCAATTTATTATTATTTTTTTTTGGAAGGCATTATTATCCCCAGAACTAACTCCCCAATCGATTAACAGCCAGGTTCCTACTTACTTAATAATAATCCCTTCAAAACCAAAAACAATAATAAATTGGTCATTTTCAATCTACGACTGTTTGTGGGACATTGCTGTGCGCAATTGGCTGCCGCGTTCGCCCACAAATATACAGTCAATTCACTTTGCAGTATGTTCTGTGAAGCGCTTTGGGACGTCCTCCCGACGTGAAAAGCGCTATATCAAATGCAAGGATTATTATTATTATTATTATTATTACTGCTAGGTAAATGGATGCGTGTGGAGTAAGGAAACTTGCCTAACATTTCGCCCAGCTGGGAATCGAACCCAGGTCTCTCGCTTGTGAAGCGAGTGCCCTAACCATTGAGCTACAAGACTCCACTTCCGCCAATGACTCTTCCCACAAGCTGCTGAGACCCTCATCCATACAACCATCACATTCAGACTCGATTATGCTATCTCCCTGCTTGTCGGCTTTCCCTACTCTGCCCCCTCCACAAGGCGTAGAGTACTCAGAACTCTGCAGCTCGTCTCATCGTGAAAGAGTCTATACAAATGTAATTTATTATTATTATTGTTATTGACAACACTATCTGACAAGCTTCCTGCTTTTTGTCCATCTTAACCAAATAGAGCTCTGCTCGCAAGTTTATCAGAAACTGAGTAGAAAGAATCCATGCCGCCAGTGAAGAAAGGGATGGAGGTTCAAAACAGTTAATTCCTTAGTTCCTTAATTAAGGAATGGGATAAGTTTAGCAATACCACAATTTTGAACCCAGAGACATGTACTTTTACAATTTTGATCAATGAGGATTGGATGGTTATTTTCTTACAATTAGCTTTTGATTCCATTTATTGGGAAAGATATAGTAAAAATTGAGTGTCACAAATTGAACGTAATTTGTGCAGGAACTTGGAAACAAGGCCTCGTTAAGGAGTTGGCTTCAGCACTACATAGAATCTCAGCACTTCATTATAAACTCAGCAATGCATAACAATTGAGGCTCTGCTCAGATTGGTCCCTTAATATTTCAAAGGACCTACTCAAAAACATTAAAGGGAAGATTTATGTGGCTGCCTCTTATCTAATATTAAAATATTATACTGGTTATCGAAGTTCTGTGCATACACTCAGTTATGCACATGCAGAAATCTGCATAGCCCCAACCAAAGGAGCAGGAAACATAACTCAGTCTTCCTGTTCATAATCACTTTGTTGCTCAAAGGAATATTGCTTTGCCTCCTGGAGTATCAGTTGTTCGTAAATTTCTTAACATGATAGAAGGCACAATCCATTTGGTCATGCTCCCAAAATAATAAATTAGCGTTTTAATCTAATCTGTTTTGGTATGACTGTTAAATGACTATTTTCAATGTTAAAGTCAATGAAGCTATTTGCTTCCCCCCACCTCCACCATCAGCAGAGACATTTTCTCTGAACTAAGTCTTTAATTACAGTCTCTCATTTGTCTACCTACAGCTGCCTGGCTTTGAAAGTGGTAAATCAATTGCTATTTAATCCACAACCACTTACAGGACACAGATTGCTAAATTTCAGTCAATAATTTTTGAACCCAATTCAACCATGAAAGATATCAGTCCTTCAGATGAAACTTTAAACAAAGGTCCCATTTGCCTGCTCAGGTGGATATTAAAAATCGCATGCCACTATTTGAAAAGAGAAGGGGTGTTCTGCTGGTGTCCTGGCCAACAATCCCCCACAAACAAAAAATCTGTTATTCATTTCAACTGAATTCATGGCTGTTTGTGGGACCATGCTGTGCACAATACACAATCACTACACTTTACAGTAAAATCATGTGAAAGACTCAATGATGTAATAAGACACTAAATAAAATGCAAGGATTATTATTATTGCATTATTATAATTTTCAGTATTGTTGTCTAATGCACAAAATTCTGTGTTGAATATTCAGGTGACTAAACTTCTTTAGCTTACCATTAACATGCCATTAACCAAGCAATTCCATAAACAATGACTACATGTACAAGCAAACGAAAGCAGCTGACCACGTACCCACACACCTTGGCAGAGGTGCACTCCATACACGACGGCCACCTCCGAGACATGAGATCTGGGATGCACCTTCTAGACGGTAACCTGAGGTACAGGAGAACATCAAGGAATCACCAATACCAAAGGTTGCTCCTATACGGTTGCCATAGGATGGGATGCCCGGGTCTTCGCAGGGTTCTAGGTTGTATTCTATCAAAATAAACCAGGAAAAATATTCAGAAATACATTTTAAACACATGCCTCATAAAAATATATCTTTAAGCAAGAGTATGAACAACCCAATATACGACTCTTAAAAATAGTTATGTTTAAAATTAAGAGCAATTACTTTCATATTCAGCAATTTCCTTGTGTTAATGATTTGTACCTCACGAGGCACTTTGCTTACCGGAAAAAGTAATATTGAATCCTTCGTACGATATTGAAAAGTCTGAGATGAAACGCAACTGAGCCTTGAAATTTCCATAGAGACCGGCGTTAATTGGTGAGATAATTTCTGAGCCAGTCAACCGTGCTAGAGCATGAGTAAAGCTGCCGTTTTCTGTGATGAGAAAGTAGTCGTGAAGATCCTCCAAATGGAAGGTGTGAAAGGTGAACTCCACGCCTACAGAAAAGATATGAGATAAAATCATTAATGACTTGTGGGGACACTGGTGTCCGTCTGGCTCAGCGGTTAGTACCCTCGCCTCTTGAATCATAAAGGTCTGAATTCGCAGTCTAGGCCAACACTCCAGTGCAGTCCTGGGAGGAGGGCTGAATTGTCAAATGTGCCACATCTCAATTGAGATGTAAAACCCCAAAGGTCCCGTCAGCCCTATTTAAGATGGATGTTAAAGATCCCGTTCCACTATTTCAAAAGAGAACGGAGTTTCTCCCAATGTCTATCGTGTTCTAGAAATGCAAAGTCATATTCCATCATGTGATAAGATGCTATATACAACAGAAAAATTATTACATGCTATGTACTGTAGTTCCTTATAAGAATTGCTACTCAGTTAAAACGCAGCCAAAACCTAATAGTCTTATTATTATACTGTCTACGGTGCAGTCTATGGTGAAAGACAAGCAAAATTATATTTGAACAAATTGTGTTACTGACCAATATTATTTGTATTATGGAACACAAACACCTACTTTCACTCTGTTTAAATAACAAAAGCATCAATATGTATGAATTAACCTTTCAAAATTTGCAAGGAAGAATATGAAGTCCTGTAGCTCAGTGATTAGAGCACTCGCTTTGCAAGTGAGAGACCTGAATTCAATTCCAGGCAAAGGGCGAAACCTTGGGCAAGTTTCCTTACTCCACACAGAGCCTAATAATAATCCCTCCAAAACAAAAAACAATAATAAATTGGTCATTTTCAATCTACGACTGTTTGTGGGACATTGCTGTGCGCAATTGGCTGCCGCGTTCGCCCACAAATATACAGTCAATTCACTTTACAGTGTGTTCTGTGAAGCGCTTTGGGACATCCTCCCGACGTGAAAAGCGCTATATCAAATGCAAGGATTATTATTATTATTATTATTATGAAGCAAAATTGTCCTATTTGGATGGATTGTTCCGACAGATCTTCAAAGCCTTAGAAATGACATTTCTTATTAAGCAACTTGTTATAAATTCATGCTAATTAGACCCCAGTACAGTGAAGACACATTATTAACATGATGTTCCTTTTTCCGAAAGCACAAGCTTCTTTCTTCGCATGTTGCTACTTTATAAAATGTATCATCCTTCAAAATTAACCAATTTGACAAATTTCCCTCCTTATTGGAAAAAGGGTTGAATGCCTCCTACATTCTTTGCTGGAAAGGTGCAATGTTCTTTCTGGTATTGTCATGATTTTGCAAACAAGGCTGAAAAATGCAGTGACTGATCGTTTGGAACCAGCAATAAATGCATGCCACAGTGATTCTCGGCAGTGCTCACTAAACTCTACCTTCACCACACAACTAACTGGAAGACCCTCCCATCCGTTTATGAAAGAACCATTAATGATTTGATACATCACTTAACGCAGGAGTGTGAGACTCCAATAATTTTATGACATTCATACAAGATACCCAAATTGTGGATTTCTTCTCACTTCACTGAAGGGTTGTTATTGAAAAATTAAGAAGAAATAGAGATCATTCAATTTAGAAAAAGCAGTATGTTCATTTTTTAATTTTTCAAGACATACATAAATATAATTACTGAGTTTCACCTTGTCACATCTCTCACATTGCTATTAATATTGGTCTCAGGTAAAGGGACATGTCCTTGTCAAGGTCTGGATCTAATTTACTTGCTAGGTTCTTAATTCTCCTGTTGATCCAATAGAAATGGAGATGCTAATAATGCAGCTGGAAAGCAGGTTTAAACAGTTGGATTGGTTTACATTTTCTGCAATTCACTTTATAACCAGACAAGCAACCGAATATTTTAATCTCCTGTTGGATGGAATTCACTCCAGCAACCAGATAGAGCAAATGTCATCTTATATATAGTGACATTTTATAGAATCTCTTACCTGCTTGATGTCCCCAATTGGGATTTTCTCTAGCCTAGTGATGGCCAACAAAATACATTTTCTGTATTGAATTTTTCTTGATTTATGCCATATCAAGAAAAAAATGAAATCACACTACCGATCGTACACAGACTTACCTAGACTCATGCAAATGTTCAAGGGAAGGGGGCACTTTTTGACAGCCCAGTGGACCGATTTCAACCTGCGGGCCACAGGTTGGCCACCACTGCTCTCGCCAGTCTTGTTTATCAGTTTAAATGAGGACGGAGTGGAATAAAGATGGGGAAACTGCAGACAAATGATCATTCCAAAGGTGTAAAACTGCAGTGTAGTACAATAATCGCATGAAAAGTTTGGTGGAAAGACCAGGGGAATAGGATTCAAATAGATAACTCCATAATAATAATACTTGCATATGATATAGTGCCTTATCATGTCATCGAGACATCTCAAAGCACTTCACAGGACATACTGTAAATTGGATTTACTCTGTTTTTTGTGGGTGAAACTCCAGTGGGTCAGTCAGTACCAGCACAGCCAGCATGGGCCGAACGGCCTTAGTCTGTGTTGTAAATTCTATGATACCTATTTGAGACACCTGGTCTGTTCTCTGTATGTAGCTTGGTATTTTAACTGATTAAATGTAAGGCAACAGAGGGTGTATCAAATAAACATCGCTCAACAACGGGGACAAAAGGTCTCCGACCTCAAGTGGAACTGGTGCCTTTGAAATGTCACCCTCTGTACATCACTGATGGATAAACATAAATAGATAAAAGCTCTATACATTGTCTGAGACACATTTTGTCTGATTAAGTCTACCTGGATCAGGGGCATATTTAATTGGCTGAGATCAGTGGCTGATATTGATGACTAAGATTGGGCAATTAGTACAGATCATTCAATCCTTTTACCTCCCAAGATACTCACACTAACCTAGCTGAATTTCATGGAAAGCTTTTATGAGAAAGAGTATTTCTGCACACACTGCAAAAAAAAACTATAACAAGATACTTTTTGCATTAAAGTTGCCCATCGTTTCTCTAAGTTTTTACGTTTTATAAATGTAAAATTGTTGTTGTTGCAAACTGAATACTCTTCTTTTTGTTCAGTCTTTCTATTTACTTAAAACTTCAAAAGAGTGTGTCTTTAAAAGCAATAACAAAATAAGAAGCTGCATTTAGAAATACAGAATACCATACAATGGTTCATCCCCATTGAATGTTCATTCTGTTTTGGGCTATTCTCACCAAGTCTTAGATATCTATTAAATTAACTTATTATTCCTTCTTGAAATGAGGCAGAAAGAGATCTAATAATAATGATAATCCTTGATTTGATATTCTGCCTTTCATATCAGGAGGACTTCACAGATGCATCTCAGGATTTTACAATAAAGTGTTGTGATTGTATTTATAGGCGAACAAAACAACCAATTTGCACAAAGCAGTGCATCATAAAACAGCCATGAAGTGATGACAATTATTTTCCAGGAAATTATTCTTTACAACACTGGAAAACCCCCCCTTATCTTTTTGAATAGTGTTGAGGAATCTTTAAAATCCACCTGAACAGAAGACAGGACCTCAATTTACATTTCCCTCAAAAGGCAGCATCTCCAACAACAAATTACATTTGTATAGCGCCTTTCATTTCAGGAGGTCGTCCCAAGGTGCTGGACAGTCAGGAATCCACACCTGAGCTGGTGGTTGGGATCAGGAGGGGTGGAGGGCGGGTTGGGTAGAGTTAAGAGGGTGACTGAAGGCAGGGTCGAGGAGGAAGGACTTGATACAGGGCTTGAAGTAGGCAAGGGGAGTGGGGGGTGAGGGGGCCAGACGGAGGGACTGTGGAATGGAGTTCTGGAGGGTGAAAGCAATGGTAGGGCTGGCAAGTCGGGGGACTTGGAGCAGGTCAGAGCCCGCTGAGCGGAGGGAGCAGACAGGTTGCCAGGGGTGAGATGGTCACAGAGGAAGGGAGGAGCAAGGCTGTGGAGGCCTTTTGATGGTGAGAATCAGGATCTTGAACTGTATCCTCTGTGTGATGGGGTGGAGCCAGTGGGGTCGGGTGAGGATGGGGTGATGGGATTGTGGAGCCTGGTGCAGGAGTGCACACGTGCTGCAGAGTTCTGCATGATCTGCAGCCTTTGGAGGGAGGAGTTGGGGAGGCCAACAAGCAAGGGATTTTCGTAGTCAAGCATGGGTTTGATGAATGCAATGGATGAGGCTCTCGGCGGCCTGCGGTGAGAGATAGTGGAGGAGCCGGGCAATGTTGTGGAGGTGGCGGATGAAGGACAGTTGAGGTCGAACAGGACCCCGAGGTTCTGTATTGGCTCCGTGAGGTGTAGAGTGCATCCATTCCTGAACACTGTATTGGAATATCAACATAGATTATGAGCTCAATAAACCAATGTAGGGCTTAAACCCACAACCTTCTGACTCAGAGACTTTTGAAGCAGAGTCAGTGCACACCTCTAAAAGGGAATCAGATAGGCGAGTGGTGGTGAACCTATGGCTTGCTAGCCAGAAGTGGCCCATGGGGCTGTCAAGAAGCGGCCCCCAGAACATTCACACAAGTCTAGGTAAGTCCGTGTTTGATCAGGAGCTTGCTTTCAGTTTTTTTCTTGATTAAATATGTATTAATTTATGGTATAAATCAAGAAATATTCAATCAAGAAAATATATTTTGTTGGTCACAGAAATTTCTAAAGGTTGGCCACCACTGATATAGATCTTTGAAGAGGAGGAACATTAAAGTTGGATGAACAGAAAAGTGGGATTCAACTAAGCAATTTATGTAGGAAAAAACACCAGTGCAGACATCATCTTTTGAAAAGACTTTAACTTTCAATCGTTCAATGATTCAATTAGCTGTGCAAGATTAGGAATCAGGATAATGCAGATTTGTTGACACCTGTGATCTCTCCATGACCTACTGGGACCACAATCTAATACATCTCTCACCCCATCAGGATCCCAAACCAATTTAAGCATGTATAACCTTGATGCCAGGTCAACCAAGAATTCTGCTTGGCCTAGCATATTGTTCACATATTTACAATTAATATAATTTTTCGTTATTCTCCCTGCTGAATCCAAGGTTCTGGCGATTAAATTAATGTTGTACTTATGGAATACAGCTGACCTGTTTCATCTCAAATAACTGTCATTTTCAGTAAATCTTCCAACTCATTATTACAAAACACATTCCTTTACAACTCAAAATTAACTACATGACCAGAATGCAAACGCACAGGTTAAAGGCAGGAACTCAATCAAAATCCTTGTACACGTAGTTTCATTACCTTTTCCATGGGAAACTTCCACAGTCCACGTGCAGTTTAATGAATTTGGGTAAAAGTCTGGGTAACCTGGGGATAAAATGGTCCCAGTCGGTCCTTGAATATCTCCACCACATAGTGCTAGATATGAAAAAAGAAAAGTAAAAATGTAAATAGAAAATTGTAGCACGTTGTACTTTTGTTACCTTTTGCATTTGCATTAGCACATAAGTGATGGCTGATTATAATCTACATAAGGATCTAAGTCGGGGGTTATTTAAATTTAAAGTGGATTTCAATTGTAACCAGCATTTTACCATCACCTATCATTACTGCAGATGGCTCGGTCCCTGTATTTACAGATCAGTGTAGGGATGGTTTTCTCTGGAAGTAATTTGCTTCAGTGACTCAAATATGATTATATTTTGAACTCCCCTGTGTTTTCTTTCTTGGGTAACAGATGTAATACGATCAGTATTACGATCAGTATGCCAGTACCTGGCAGCTCGCGCAAACGTCTCAAGCCTCTATAATCCCTGATTATGCATCGGAATCACTCCCAGTAAATTGTTCTGGCAATTACTGCAAATTGTGCTGCTCTAGCCCTACTACACAGCTTCCTAGGTGGCATCAAAAGTGAATTGGATTATCCATCAGAAAGCATCACTGTGCTAATCCCAACGTCTGAGACAAAAAGGGAAAGTACAAGGCAGGATTGTATACCTTTACATCGCACCATACACAAGATCAGGATTTGGATGAAGAAGGCTTTTCAGCCCATTTGATCTTCCATCATACCTACCCTACCATTTTTATGTAAAAGCAACAAGCTGTTTTTTTTAAAAGATTTTTTGTCAGTGTCCTGGCTTCAACCACCCTGACAATTTAGTTGTAAATGGAGAGAAATGCTGGAAAGTGGTTAAATCCCTCAGGTGCCAGGGGACGACCAGAGAGGTGTCGTAGAAGATCATACAGATAGGGAAGTGCTAGGGTGTGAAGGAATTTATAGACTTGAGTGAGCATGCAGAGTGTTAAAAATTCAATGGCATAATTTGATAAAAGAAGGGAGCTGTCCCAGTGTATTGTCCACAATTCCATTAAATTTCTGTTTGTGGGACATTGCTGTGCAGAATCTATTGCCGCATTTCACCCACTAAATGCACAGTCAATTCACTTTACAGTGTATTTGGTGAAGCTATATCAAATGCAAGAATTATTATTATATAAATGATCATTCACTTCATGGCTATTCGGGGGACACTGCTGTGTGCAAATTGGCTGCCTCGATGGCCTACAAAAAGTGCGCAATCAGTACACTTTACAATAAATGCTGTGAAGTGCTTTAAGATGGTTTGCCAACAGATATGGTGCTGTATCAAATATAATAATAATAATGTCCTGCACCATATTCCACTACCTTACAAGGCACAATAGTAGGAATTAGTCAAACGAACATAGGTTTTGAGATAAAATGGCTGAAAACTGGAAGACAATAATCTCAACTAATAAAAAGGTAATCTATAAGTGAGGTGAAAGACCATTCTTCTTCAGTGAAGGTTTGAAATTGGTAAGTTTGGCAGGTGGCAACAATTCAGATTAACATCAATAAAGCGTCCAGTTGGTTTAGCAGCTTGCTCTCTTTGATTGCAATCATGTGCCCTGCAAATTCTGTTGAGAAATATTGGCACACCTTGCTTTAACATTCTAAATGGCAGACACAAAATAATATCTTAAAATTATATTAATTGCAAAATGGACTACAGATGGCGAGCCCAAATCGCAACAGAAAAAATGCAGAATGGGTTGAGAAAATCTAATAATTTATTCAATATTGCTCTGCCTCAAGTAGCAAGAAGATACTCAGAACTGTAATTAATGAATGAACTGGAGGTAATTCCTTTTATTGATGCCCTCAAACAACTTAGTAGATACAGTGTAATATGTACTAACATGACTGGAAGAAGACAGAAGGCAAATTACGACTTCATGTTATGCAGAAAAGACAGAGTCTTTAATTAGTTTCCTGCCCTAAACAACCCACTTTATTACTTTCTCACTCTTGTACATTTACATTTTCAATTAAACTTTTAGATTAAGTTTCCAAACATGGATATTTTATGGAGTTATTTTGTGACCGTTTTTTATTCACCTGCTTGGATATTTGACACAAGGGGAAACCCAATGCCATGATTGAGAGACTCCAAACTCTGTCTCGTTTGGAGACTATGCATAACTGAAGGAATAAAGAGGTTAGAATTGACTATTGGAAGAACAGAGAAATGGCATTTGAATTGACTGATATAATGCATAACTAAAACTATGGATTACAGCAAGGTAGTGATAATAACATTAATGATTATCAGTGTTTATCCTTCAGGGACACAGAAGGAAATGATGACTATAGTCCCATTCCCTTTCTTAATGAGCTACCAGCCAAATTTCCTCATACAAGCAAATGTGTACTATTTGTACAAAGAAAAAGATAATGGTAAACTGAAATCCCTTCTGTCTATTCAAAGATTCCATTGCAGTGGGAAAAGAGAAGGGAGTTGCTCATGGTAGCCTAGCCAACAATCCCCCAAATAAAATTGGTCATTCACTTCATGGCTGAAGTGCACAAATTAGCTACTATGTTTCTCTGTAAATTACACAATCACTAGACTTTACAGTACATCCAGTGAAGTACTTTGAAATATCTGGCTGACATGACAGGTTCTATATCAAATGCAAGGATTATTATTAATATATTATTATTATTAATAATTATAAATATTATTACGAAATAATTTATTAATTATCATAGTCGATATTCCCAATTCACCAAAAGAAACATATAAAGTCCCACTCATCTTGTTGCTGATGAACTTTATTTATCTGCACAACAGTGATTATTCAACATAACACAATAGGTGAGGCTTTTTGAGATCACGTTGCCGTATCACATGGGAGTAATATAACTTGAATAAAAATCCTAAAACTGTAGTTGTAGCTTCTCCTTTGTCTACTCTCTTGATGCATCCTAAGATATTGTTTTGAGTTTACCTTTTTAAACTATTTAACATTAAAATACACCTCTATAAAGTTCCATTTGCAACATTTTCTCTCAAGACTGAAGAGCCCAACGTGATTAAACGTGTTCATAACTCATTCCTTTTAACTGGGGATCATCCTTATGGATCTCTGTTGCACTGCCTCTAGGGTCTGGGCCTTATGTCCTCGGCCCACAACTGTATCCTATGTAAAAGTGCTCTGGTCCGACTGTATCTTGAGTATGTTTTCTGGGGATCTGAACTCAACTGATTTGTCAATAGAGTCCAGCATCGTGTTTGTCTTGTTTATTCCTGGTTCACACTGTTTTGATATGGTGAGTAATGAGTCAACAAATACCCCTAGATCTCTTTCTGCTTCCTGTTTGGCAAGTTCTATCCCACCCATAAAGTACATCCATTAGCTATTCTTACTTCCTGTATGAAGAACCTTGCATTTATCTGTATTAGACAACATTTGTCCAATTATCACCCCGGCATACTCTATCAAGCTCTTTTTGTAGGACCTTTGCTGCCTCTTCTAATTTCACACTTCCCTTCAGGTTGGTGTCTTCTGCAAATGTAACTATCTTACCTGGATTGATGAGTCCAGGTTATTGATGTATGAAAGGAACAGGAGGAACAGAACCCTGAGACCCAGCTTAACACAGCCCCATTTTATCCTGGCATATTTAATGGTTATATATAAAATATAAGCTAAAAGAAAATGTCCTTTCCTCACTATTTCCTCACTCCACTATTGTGGAGTCTTGTAGCTCAGTGGTTAGAGCACTTGCTTTGCAAGTGAGAGACCTGAGTTCAATTCCAGGCAGGGCGAAACCTTGGGCAAGTTTCCTTACTCCACACGCCTAATAATAATCCCTCCAAAAAAGAACCAATAATAAATTGGTCATTTTCAATCTACGACTGTTTGTGGGACATTGCTGTGCGCAATTGGCTGCTGCGTTCGCCCACAAATATACAGTCAATTCACTTTACAGTATATTCTGTGAAGCGCTTTGGGACGTCTATAAGACGTGAAAAGTGCTATATCAAATGCAAGGATTATTATTATTATTTGATGACATCTATAAGAACAATGTGGTCCCATTATCTGATGTGTCTGGTGAAGAAATTTACATCACTAATTATGACATTGACATCTTAATGAATGCAGATGATGTTATCCTGTTAGTAAGATGAATGGAAATTTGCAAAATTTAAGTTATACTAAACAATGTTTAACTTATGAAGAGTAAGGACCATGCAGTTCAACAAAAAAATTAATGCACTCAATGATTATATTCATTTCTATCACTAATCCAACCCCAATGCCTCCTCATTTCCATTCATTACTCACGTTTGATTCTTACTTTTACCTGGACTAGTATCTTGATTGGGGCAAGAATAACATGCCAGATAGGTGACCTTTGGTACCTGCTGATCGTGTGTTAACTGCTGGGAGGAAGACAAAAACAGCCTGGGCTGGCTGACCAATGATGAAACTTTATTGTTTGTTAAATCTAGCCATCTTTTCATTAAGTCTTTATGATGGAAAATCACATTATTATAAAGGCATATCAGAAAGGGTGCAATTTATTTTATTTCAGAAAATACATTCAAATTTTATTTTTTAATAGCGTCATAAATCCCTTAATTGATGAATACTAAATTCACAAGGCTTGCGATTGCTGAACTAACACTAACCACAACATTGCACGTTTTGCGTACGAGTATGTATACATAGAAACCTTCACTTTTGCCCATTAAATTATGAAATAAATAAATAAATGTACAATGGAAAGGAACATCATTTTAAGAGGTTCAGACTTAATAGGCCAGTGTTTATTCCTTAAATGAAGCCAACACACTTAAGAAGAAACAACTTGAGTGGTTTAACATGCTGTCCTTTCAGCTCTGGGACTTGGGGTTGAATCCAGCTATACTGGTGGAAGCAATCAGGCTTCACCTGCAACCTGGAACAATCCATGTACTGAAATTAAGTTAACCATTTAATACTGGACATAACAACAACAACAAAATTACATTTGTAGATTGCCTTTCATGGCAGGAGGATGTCTCAAGGTGCTGGACAATCAGTTTTTCGGACCCAAG